GTATCTCAACTGAAGCATCCATGACAGAGGGCCATCCAACCTCTGCTTAAAAACCTCCAAGGAAGGAGAGTCCACCACTTCTCCACTCTGGAACAGTTCTTACTGTCAGAAAGTTCTTCCTGATGTCTACCGGTAGTTGGAATTTGAAGCCATTGGGTCGAGTCCTACCCTTCAGGAGAAAACAAGCTTGTTCCGTTTTCCATGTGAAAGCTCTTGAGATATTTGAAGGTGGCTCTCATATCTCCTTTCAGTCACCTCCAGGGGTGCCAACTTGAATAAAATAATGTGGTGGCTCAGGTAAGCCCCCCCCATAATTGATCACATGATGCACACACATCATTTGAATAGGAATGCCTATCAACTTTGTGGGGACCCAGCCCTCTCAAATATTTTATTGTGGGGCCCGAAGTCCCCACAGCCCCTAGGTCTCCTCCTTTCCAGGCTAAGCATACCCAGCTCCTTCAACTGTTCCTCATCAGACTTAGTTTCCTTGGTCATCTTCGTTGCCCTCCTTTGCACACGTTCCGTCTTGTCAATGTCCTTCTTAAATTGTGATGCCCAGAACAGGACAAAGGACTCCAGGTGTGGTCTGATCAAGGCAGAATAGAGTGGGACTGTGACTTCCCCTGATCTGGACACTAGACTTCTATTACGGGGGCAAAGAAAGTTCACTGGATTCCCCCAATTCTGGGATCCTGCCCAACCCAGGGACCAGTGGAGACCACTGGTGACTCATCTGAAGAGCACTTTACTGATAAGCTGCCCATTATATATTGGATTCCTCACCAATTTCAGATTTCCTGGGTTCTCCTATTGCTTCATTTCACTTTTTGTTGCCTGAAGACACTTGACCCTGCACCCATTCTGAGTTATTCTGGGAGAGGACCTGGCAGGAGAGGCTTCTACGCCTTTGGGTCAAGGTTGGAGGCAGGAACATTCAGGGCCCACTGAAGACCCTCTTCAAAAATCAGTACTTTTTTATGGGAGTACTAGAGGGTACTCAGTACCAGCACCATTCCCACCCCCCAAAAATGTTGTTGCTGTTGCTGTTGTTGCTGTTGTTGTTATAGTAGTAGTAGTAATTTATTTATAGCCCACCCATCTGGCTGGGTTTCCCCAGCCACTCCGGGCGGCTCCCAACAAAATATTAAACAGAATAATTCATCAAACATTAAAAACTTCCCTAAACAGCACTGCCTTCAGGTGTCTTCTAAAAGTCAGGTAGTTGTTTATTTCCGTGACATTTGATGGGAGAATGTTCCACAGGGCGGGTGCCACTACCAAGAAGGCCCTCTGTCTAGTACCCTGTAACCTCATTTATCACAGTGAGGGAACCGCCAGAAGGCCCTCAGAGCTAGACCTCAGTGTCCAGGCAGAACGATGGGGGTGGAGACGCTCCTCCAGGTATTCTGGGCCTTTGAGGCCATTGAGGGCTTTCAAGGTCAGCACCAACCCTTTGAATTGTGCTCAGAAACATCCTGGGAGCCAATGTAGGGCTTTCAAGACAGGTGTTATATGGTCTCAGCGGCCGCTCTCAGTCACCAGTCTGGCTGCCACATTCTTGATTAGTTGTGGTTTCCAGGTCGCCTTCAAAGGTAAGCCCCACGTGTGGCACTTACTGTGTGGCACCAACTTCAAGGTGAGTACCAACACCCTTTTTATACTTAAGGAAATCACTGCTTTTAATTGAGACTGTGTTGGAATTGATTTTAAGATGCTGAATCCTGCATTGTTTTCTGCCCTGGTTTCCTTTGGGAGGAAGGTGGGGTATGAATTCAACAAATGGAATAAGCAAGAATGTGATCATTCCTCATAGGAATAAAGTTATCCATATGCTCCTTTGGGGACTTAAAAGGAACTCTTGGTGTGTGTGAATAGAGATGTTGGATTCTTGTCTCATTACATATGCTAAAGCTTTTTGGTCATCTGCATACAGTACTATTCCTTGCTTTTTCCTGTAGGACTAATTGCAATCATTAAAGCAATGACAAACCTAGACAGCATCTTAAAAAGCAGAGACATCACCCGTATAGTCAAAGCTCTGGTTTTCCCAGTAGTGACGCATGGAAGTGAGAGCTGGACCATAAAGAAGGCTGATCGCCAAAGAATTGATGCTTTTGAATTCTGGTGCTGCAGGAGACTCTGGAGAGTCCCATGGACTGCAAGAAGATCCAACCTCTCCATTCTGAAGGAAATCAGCCCTGAGTGCTCACTGGAAGGACAGATCCTGAAGCTGAGGCTCCAAGACTTTGGCCACCTCCTGAGAAGAGAAGACTCCCTGGAAAAGACCCTGATGTTGGGAAAGATGGAGGGCACAAGGAGAAGGGGACGACGGAGGACGAGATGGTTGGACAGTGTCATAGAAGCTACCAACATGAGCATGACCAAACTGTGGGAGGCCGTGGAAGACAGGAGTGCCTGACGTGCTCTGGTCCATGGGGTCACGAAGAGTCAGACACAACTAAACAGCAACAACAGTCGTCAACAGGTTGACCATACCCTTTGAGTCAACCACCCATCTCCTACTACCCTCCTGAGAAAAACCCCACCCCACCCTCCCACTATATATAAGGGTCTGGTGACTTCTGTTTCAGTGTATCTGAAGAAGTGTGCATGCACACGAAAGCTCATACCCAGAACAAACTTAGTCTGTCTCTAAGGTGCTACTGGACAATTTTTTAATTTATTTCTTGGTGTGTGTGTGTGTGTGTGTGTGTGTGTGTATGTCCATCTGCAGCATCCCTGCAGGCGGGTCTCTCTGCCCAGGTGAGACTGTAACGGAAAGGCAAAGAGAGAAGTTTTTCTGGGCACATATCCAAGCAGCATCAAGCCTGCTCATAAGGGGATCTCGCCCCCTGGGAAATGGAATGGGACTGGGAAGGAGGAAGCTTGTGAAAACGGGGGGGGGGGGGGCGGGAGAGAGAGAGACAGACAGAAGCCGCTTTCCTTGAAGGAGAGACTCTCCCAGGCCCCTTTCGGGGGGGGGGCAATGGCTGCTGGTGAATCCGATTTGCAGTGAGTGGCAGAGCTGAAGAGATTACATGGGCTGCGCTTGTAATCTGGCAGCGGCTGTCTGCCGGGTTTACTGCCGAGGAGCAGGATGGACTCTGGGACAACGTGGGTAGCTGTGGTGCAAGGGATCCCTGTCTAACAGCTCTTGGGCGGCGGGTGGTGGCGGTTCTGCCTCTGGGGGCGGGGGGAGCATCCACCCGGCTGCCTGCCGCACATCTCAGCTGACTTTGGGACAATAACTCCACTGTGTAAGCGCAGCCACCGTTAAATTGCCGCAATTAGCCAGTTCATAAAACATCCGCCCCACTATTGTGGATGTCATGAGAGGAGCGGGTCGCCGGCAGCCAAGGCTCAGGAGCCAGTTGCCGGCCAGCTGCTTCCCACAGAGAGGGGGCCTGCTAGATACTGTCACCCCACCCCACTCCACTCCCTTTCCAAGCAGGCTGCAGGGAATCCAGCCATGGCCCAGGAGGTCCACTTTCCCTGGAATAAAGGCCGGCAGGCAGAGTCGTGCCTGGAGGTTATATGCGTGTGTTCCCACTGCTAACGGAGAAATCTGAGGGCTCCTTTGGACAAAAAACAAGGACCCCAGCCAAGAATATCAGAGCAAAACAGCAGCCAGTAGGCTTGGTCTTGATTGAAGACTGTCGCGACAGGACTCCCACCTGCCACCAGGTGGAACAAGATGGAAGCCCCACACAAAAGAGAACCCAAACATTTATTAGCTGCTAATCCCCATGTTACACCCCCCCCCAAGTACATCATGGTTACATCATGAAAGGGGAGGTCTGGTGGCAGTAATCTGAGCATCCTGGACCCTGCCCCATGGTTCCCCTTGCCCTCCACCAAACACCCATCAAGTGGAACAAAAGAGACATTTACATTTCCCTGTTTCCCAGCCAAGTTCATCCCACCCTTTTGTCTTCATCTGGGTTTGCTATTTCTGGAATGGCTACCTGTCTGGCACTCAGGTATCAAGATGCCAGGGATTATCACTCAGGCAGAGGGGCTGCTGAGTAGCTGAGCTCACAGGTCTAGATGAATTTCTGAAGTTTCCCCTGTGAGCCAGTACATAGAGACATTTATCAGTGAATTCTTACATTTGGTATTGTGCAGCAAAGGCCCTTTGAATAGATAGGAAGAAACTGTGATGAAGTGTTTTATGGGGACAAATCACAAAAGTCACAAAAGTGATTGTGCTGATTTTGGTAGTGGGCTGCATGTGCATAATATCTGCTGGAGGGGCAATCCCCCCCCCCAACCTAGACATAAATTCCTGCAACACCACATAGATACAACTTGAGCAGAGGACAGTGGGGCTCACAGCATCGACACTCCCAACAGATCCTGCTTCTCTGTCACTCTTAGCTTTGGATCCAGCACAGAGCAGTTGTCTGTGCCTCCAGCTCCAGCTCTGCTGTCTTCCATCAGTCTGGCCAGTGGCTCTTGTTCTCCTACCTTGCAGCCAGGTGGTGGCCAAAAGGTGGAGGAAAGGCCCACTCCTTAGCCTGGAGGGCCCCCTCTTGCAACTTCTTTTGGGATGCTGATGAGGTCACTCCTTGGCCAGCTGAAGTCCCTGTCTTGCAAGAAGCTTGTCTGACCAGTGCAGCAATCTCCTGTCCTCTCCTGGAGCCCAAGACCCCCCAAATGGACATAAATATCAGGAAGAAAAGGGAAAGGAGGGTCATTAGGGTGGGGGGGCTGGCCATTTGCAACTGTCATGGCTGAAGGAGGTGGTTCCCCCAGAGGAAATGTCCCCCCGCCCTCGAGCCTCTTCTCTCCTCTTCCCTCCTGGCAGATTGGGGAGGGGGCGTCCTGCCTCTCCCACGCCAACACTCCTCCACCATCAACGCGGGCTTGAAGGCTGTATCTCTTTCTTCCCGGAGCTTATCTCATCAGTGGGTTGTCAAGGGAGGGATCCAGGCCCATCAGGCGGTGGGGGAGGGGAGGGAGGGAACGAGGGGGGGGGACTTGCAGAATGGCAGGGCTGTCTCCGTTGCTGAGCAGCATGTGCCTGAGAACTCCGCGTCTCATTGATATGACAAGCTTATCGCCGGATTATATTGGAGGCTACAAGGTCATTCCCTTTGATGTTAAAAAGGCTATAAAAGAGGGGGGGGGGTCCCTGCCCGGCCTGCGCATTAAGTCAGAAATAATGTCTCTCTCCATATTCTGTGGGAAATGCAGGGAGCTCGGCCTCAGACTCGGAATTTGACATTTGCAGGGAAATGCGTGCCCAGACTCGAGATGGAGGTGACTTTCTCAGGAGTCGTCTTGAGGGGAGCGCGTTGTCTCTGGGCTCCCCAGCCGACGAGTCCCGGGTCTCTTCGCCAAGTGGCAAAAGGTCGCAGGGCCGGTCCCCAGCGGCAAGGCTGGGAATGCCTCCCATCTGAAGCCCTGCGGAGCTGCGGCTGCCAGCCTGTGTGGACAGCACGCAGCTATTGGGACCAACTGGAAAAGAAGGGAATTCGCCCTCGCCTCCTGCTTGGAGGGCACAAGAACCGGCCTCCACGTTAACTGGGAACGAAAGGTCTACCTCGATTTGTTCCTTAGTTTTGCTTCCTGGGGCATTTGGGAATTCTTGGCTGGGGGGGGGTTCTCTTTGTCCAACCCCCATCTGCCCAGAGAGCCCATTCCCAAGGGAACAAAGCCGTGCATTTGCAGGAAGAGATCCTTTTTGCAAGCCAAGTGGGGGTGGCTGCGTCTTTGGTGAGCGCCCCGCCCGCCCGCCCGACGCCTCCATCCTCACCCGGCTGAACTATAAAGCATTCCTTGCTTCGACCAAAGAGGCAGCAAGCAGACAAGACGGAGGAGGGTCCCTGGGGGCTGGCATGAAAGGAAGGCGACTCCCCCTCTCGGAAAAGACTTTGAGCGAAACCTGAGCTGAGGAGATTCAAAGGAGCTCAACTGCTTTCATGCTTGGGCAAACTAACGAGACACACCGGGAAGGGGCCTGGAGGACGGGGGCGGGGGTGGATATGTCGAGGCTCCGTAGAGTCGAGCCCAGGCTCGGAGGGAGACTCTCCACCGGCTTGGCCAACGGGATGCCCGCGGGCTCAGTCCCGGCGGGGGTATGGCTCCACCAGTCCGCCCCACCCCGCAGCAGGCTGACCAGTTCTCCAGGGGAGGGTTCGGCATGGGGGGGGGCCAGCGGCCAATGTTTCCCTGTTGGATCAGGCTGGTGGCCATCCGGTCCGGCAGCCTCCTCTCACAGTGACCAAACGCCCATAAGAACCTAGGAATCCAGATAGACTGCCTCTGCACCTGGAGGCTCCATACGAACATAACAAGAGCCTGCTGGATCAGGCCAGTCGGCCATGGAGTTCAGCACCTCGTTCTCACAGTGGCTGAGCAGTTGCCCGTGGGAAGCCGAGCGTCAGAGGCCTCTCGCCTCCTGTGGGTGCCGGAAACTGGGATTCAGAAGCCTGGCTGCCCCCGACTCTGCAGGCAGCAGAGCCTCCTGGCTGGCGAGGAACTTTCCCAAGACACCCCCCCCAAATCCCTTTTCATAGTGTGGGTGCAGTTAGAGTGACAGAGGAGGGCCTGGAGGTGGGGAGCAGGGTTCAAATTCCCGCACAGCCCCCAGAGGGACTTTGGGCCAGTCAGCCTCGCCGGGCTGTGTGATGACAACCCCAGGAGAACAAGGAGGAGCCGCCACGTTGAGCTCTTTGGTGGGCTGTTTTTGGCAGCTGTTGGAAAGCGTCCCGTGAGGGCGCCTGCCGGATGTCAAGAGGCAGGGAGTTCCAAGGGTCAGGTGCTGCTGCCACACTGAACGACCGAGTTCTTCCAACTGCGCCTGCAACTCTGCCGGTGATGCTGGTCGAAGTGGTTGGGCGGGCGAGGCTACCTCGCAGGTAAATGTCTCGAACTCAGCCCAGTGGCAGATGGGAGACCAGCGTAGACCTCTGAGCACGGACCTCCTGTACTGACCGCAAGGGAAGCCCCGCGCAAGGGGCTTAGAAAGGGTCCTTCTCCCCCTGCCTGACTGCCGCGGCCTCTGGCTGAGCAGGGTGCTGGCCGGGCTTCCTCGTCCACGCGTGCGCGCGCACGTGGGACCCTCTGTGGGGAAGGCCAGGTCATCTTGAGCGGCGACCCACCGCCAGCCGCTCCCTTAGTGATCACGGAATCACAGAATGGTAGAGTCGGAAGGGACCCCCCGAGGCATCTAGTCCAACCCCCCGCGATGCAGGAAGGCTGTTTCTCAGGGCAGCCGGGTGGGAACGGTCCCCAGTTCGAGTCTTCGCTCCGCCGTTTGATCGGATCTGCTCCGTGGAAGAGCAAAGGAGGAAAAGAAGCGAAACGTTTTTAAGCAGAGCTTGGCTGGCCGCCTGAGTGAGGTTCCTGCCTTGCAAGGGGTTGGACCAGATGGCTTTTGGGGGTCCCCCTGCCAACTCTACCATTCTCTGACTCTATGAAACGAGAGCAGGCTGGTCACCTTCACTGCCGGGAGTCGGGGGGGGGGTTGCTGTGCCGAGATGGGGATCAAACGAGGAGCGGGCCGGGAAGAGATAAAAATGTGCAGGCGATGCAAAATTATTCGGAGTGGTTGAGTCGGGAGCCGGTGATGAAAGAGCTGCCAAATCATCTCGCGAAAATGGGTGATTGGGCAATAAAATGGCTGATGGGATTCAATTTGGATAAGTGCGAAGGGAGGCGGCTCGTTGGCAGGAAACCGCCCCCCCACCCCCACCCCCGACGACTCTGCGGAGGCCGGGCCGGGCTTCGGGTCCGATCCTGCGCTCGGGGAGGACGCCGGGGCGCTCCCCGAAACCCAATAGCAACGGGGCAGCTCCGCCGCGTGGTAAAAGGGAATTGGGGGGCGCCAAGGGGGGGTCCTGCCTCCCATCGAGAGAAGCCCCCTCCCCCTCGCACCCCTCTCCCCCACCCTGTCCATTGAGTGTCGTGAGCACGAAAGAGGTGGCTCCAGCCGGTGGACCCCCCTTCCCCTCCCGCTGCTGCCAGCTGCTTAGGTTCGCTCGGCGGAGCTGGCTCCGCTACAGTGACCCCCCCCCAATAACCCCCGTCCCGCATTTGTAGGAACTCGATTGTTTCTCGTGGGGCGGCGGAGGCTCCCCTTTGGAACTCCCTGCCAATTGATGTCAGGCAGGCGCAACAGAAACGGCCTCTTCCGGACAACAAGCCCAGCCCTTGAAGGTTCTCCTAGACTCATCACTGCCACGAGAAACAGGTCCAGGAGCCCCGGTTTCCAGCTCCGGTCTAGATGACTCGTGGGGGCGGGGTCTCTTCCAACTCTACACTTCTATGATTCTAAGGCTCCTCGTTGCCCCCTGGTGATATGGGGGGCATGGTCCTTTCTTCTTTTTAAAAACCATTTTCACTGAATTATTGGTGCAATCGTATATACAGAGACAACCTAAAAGAAGAACATGAGTTAAAGCAAATTCAAAATCAATAAAATGCAGGATAATGGAAAAAGCCGTCAAGGAATTTCTGTGTAAATGCAAGACCCCCGCTTCACATTTGAATCGGTTTCTCATTATGGCATCTATTTTGCTATTAATTGTTTCTTTGCTTTCTTTATTACAGGATGGCAATGGATCAAAAAATAATAAGACGAATTTATACGAGCCAGACCATAATATATGCTGCAGGTGCTGTTCTTCCATGTGCTTCATTATTTGTATGAACAATAAAACCATGCCAAATAGCATGAAAGTCGCCATGTTTCTTTCGTCCCCTGGTTACCTTTAGCTTTATGAGATAATTTTTTCTAATAATGGAGTTTGCCCCACTCTGTCACACCACCAGTACACAGTGAGAAGGTTGGGGGGGGTGTTTCCAGTGGGACCCCTTGCTAGGATCCAGGGGGGGGGTCTTCATCCCCACAGCCTAGACAGGACACGCAGTGACCACCCAAGTCTGAGGCAAAGCCCCCCCCCTTGTTTGCAAGAGGTATTCTCCAAAGCCATTTAAATCCAGCAGGACCGGAAAGTCTTCGTAAATCCCGATTCCGATTAAAAATGGGCATTTTTTAAGAGGCAGTGTCACATCAATAATGCAGCTGCTGCTGTTTTTATTATATGGGTTAATAAGATATATTTATAAGGGGCTAAGCCAGGGGTCTGCAACCTTTAAGACAAAAAGAGCCACTTGGACCCATTTCCGAAGAAAAAAACACCTGGGAGCCGCAAAACCATTGCGACATTTAAAACAAATATATCTCCGGAGCCGCGATCTAACAGCGGGTGGGAAGGTGCCGTCGGGACGGTGCGTGACTAACACACGCACCGCCCCCATGCGACGTCACAACCAGTACAGCGCCCGCCACAGTGGGGAGTGTCGGGGCGCACAATGCGCCTCCTCCCCTCGCTAGTATCCGCCCCGGAGCCGCAGCAAAGGTGTAAAAGAGCCACATGCGGCTCCGGAGCCGCGGGTTGCAGACCCCTGGGCTAAGCAAAGGCGGAGGGGGAATTTCCTGCTTCATCCAAGGTGGAGGCTCCACAAGAACAAGAAAAGGTGGTTCAGATCCTGCCTGTCCCAACGGGAGCATTCGCTTGGTTTCGTTGTCTGAAAGTGTCCAGCAGGATTCTCTCTACTTTTTACAAGCTTGTTTTCTTCTGCTCTGAAGGGTAGGACTGGAACCCATGGCTTCAAGTTACCAGAAAGCAGATTCTGACTAAAAGTCAGAAAGAACTTTTTGGCAGTAGGAGCTGTTCAATCATGGAACAGACTGTGGGAATGTTGTGGATACTAGGAGAGGATATATGGATTTAATAGTATCCTTCCTCACTCACGCTTGTGAGTCAGCAACAGGGCAACATCACCCAATATATAGCAGGAAGCTAGTTGGTAGATTCGTTTGAATCTCTTTGTTTAAGCAATCCAATCCGGCTTTGTTCAGATTGGAGTGTATTCCTGGTTTTATCCCTCCTAAACAGAATAAAGACACAACAATCTTCTTTAAAATTAATAAGTTTACTTACATCCAGTTCACAGTTGGATCCCTGAAGGCTTAAACTTGTAGTTACAGAAGAGAGTTTTAATTCATCTCATATGGGGATTGAGCCCATGTGCTGCTGGCTGAGAGCCAGCAGACAGCAAAAGGCATCAGTATCAGGAGAGCATGGCATTGAGAAGAAGAAGAGGGTGACGGCTGAGTGACCAGCCCCTTTCATGGGGTCTCCCGGGGATCACACCCACCTACCTGGTCACACGCAGGGGGAGGATGCTCCAGACCAGGTGTGACAGGAAGTCCTCCTGGCTGGAGCAACACCCCCCAGCGTGTCCACTCTGGGCAAACAGGAAGTGTTGCACTTGACTGCTTATGCTACATCCCACACAGACTCCCTTGCGGGAAGGCCTCTCCTCCTCCCATAGGGGAGGGGTTGTGAGTGGGAGCAGCTTCCCGCGGGGGGGGGGGGCAAGGAGGCGTACTCGGCTCCCTGCTCCCGATTGGTTCTGCTGCCGTGGCCAAGCCTTCCAGCCGACCAATAGGGCCGGCTGGTGGGCAGGGCTAGCCAAATTTAAACAGCCGCAGCAGCAGCGCTCAGCTCCCAGCCTGTTCCTGCTTTCTTCAGACCTCCCGCCCTCCCTCCCTTTTAGGTCAGCTTCTTTTGTGTATTGACCTTGCTATGGACTTCGGTTGGTTGCCTTGGTTGCCCAAGGGGCCTGGTAGGACTTTTTTATCCATTTGGCAAATTGGCACCAGCCTCTCGGTTTTTTCACCTGCCTCGTAGCAATTCGTCACAACTTTCTGGTGTTGGCGGTTAGGCATTGGAATAGGTGTGCTGTGTGGGAGGATGGGGTATGGGCCATCATCTACCCCTCCTCTCTTGGGTATTCCATTGGAGGAATCCGGCGGTTGTGGATCCTGTCCGATGCCCTGCTGGTGGCTAGGGCCATGGCACGACCCCCGGTGGCGTCATGGGGTTGCTTCCAGTTGACTCCCTGCTGAGAGGGGTGGAGTCCTGTGTTGCTGTTTCATCCAATGCCTAAGCCAATGCTACTCACATGCTGTAACCAATAAAAGTTGTGGCCTAATTTTGCCCATGAACCTAAACTAATGTCTCTTTTTGTCTTGTTATACTCCTATGCGGGTGGCGGGTCCTTGACTCACAAAACCTTCCTTGGAGGTTTTCAAGCTGAGGTTGGATGGCCCTCTGCCATGGAGGCTTTAGCTGAGATTCCTGCATTGCAGGGGGTTGGACTAGATGACCCTCGGGGTTCCTTCCAGCTCTACGCTTCTGTGTCAAAGTGAAGTGAGTGAAAGGGCACTGCTGGGCTGGGCTTGTGGAGCAGGACCTTCCCAAGCCCGGTTTTGCTGCTGCTGCTACAGCTGGGCAGAGCCAGTGATTCCCCAGGCTTCTCTTTGCCACCAACCACCGCCCCCCGCCCCAGATGATGGATGGATGCCCACATGTCTCTTTCACCTGCCCCTTGCCACCTTCCTCATCCCGCAGCTGCTTCTCCATGGACACGTTTCACGCGCTGAGCCCTCCCTGCTCTGCGGGAGGAGGACGTAGTTCAGCGCCTGGCACAGAACAATGAGCAAAAATGGGGTCTTGAATGGTTTTAATCTCTGTTTACTCCATAAAAACAGTCCCAGGTGCCATCCATTACTCGGCGGAGGAGCTGCTTTACAGGCTATAAAAAGAAAAATTGTGTTACATATTAAAGCTCTCCTTGCTTAAGCCTTGCTTGTGGGAGAAAGATTTACAAATAGCTGGATTGAGACCAGGAGCATTAACAAGACGGAATGCCCCGGAGGCCGTTACAAATCTGGGGCTGGCAGGTAATGGGGGCTGTAGCTCAGTGCAGAGCCACCAAGGAACAACAACAGGGTATAAACAACAAGCCACACATTTGTAGCCACTCTGGGCTGGCGCCTTCAGTGGGAGAGAGGGAGGGGGACGCTTCTGAAAGGGCCCCCACTTCTCCCAGCCTTGCCCTCTACTGTGGGGCAGAAGCAGCGGCACCAGGTGAGCTTCTGCAGCAGAAGGGAAGGTCCCAGCTGTGCCCACAAGAAGGAGCCTAGACATAGTGTCTGGATGGACCTGAGCTCCACCAAGGCCAGATGCGCTCCTGTCCCCAGGGAGACGGGAGGGCCCTTTCCTACAGTGCTCAACTGTTGCAGGAATTTATGTATAGGTTGGGGGGGTGTTGCCCCTCCAGCAGATATCATGTACATGCAGCCCACTACCAAAACCAGCACCATCGCTTTTGTGACTTTTGTGATTTGTCCCCACAAAACACTTCATCACAGTTCCTTCCTATCTATTCAAAGGGCCTTTGCTGCACGATACCAAATGTAAGAATTCACTGATCAATGCATCTATGTACTGGCTCACAGGGAAAACTTCAGAAATTCCTATAGACAGGTGAGCTCAGCTCCTCAGCAGCCCCTCTGCCTGAGTGATAATCCCTGGCATCCTGATACCTGAGTGCCAGACAGGTAGTCATTCCAGAAAGAACAAACCCAGATGAAGACAAAAGGGTGTGATAAACCTGGCTGGGAAACAGGGAAATGTCAATGTCTCTTTTGTGACACTTGATGGGTGTTTGGTGGAGGGCAGGGGGAACCATGGGGCAGGGTCCAGGATGCTCAGATTCCTGCCACCAGACCTCCCCTTTCATGATGTATGAGTGATGTAGTTTGGAGGGTGTAACATGGGGATTGGCAGCTAATCAAAGTTTGGGGCTCTTTTGTTCTGGGCTTCCATCTTGTTCCACCTGGTGGCAGGTGGGAGTCCTGTCGCGACAGTCTTCAGTCAAGACCAAGCCTACTGGCTGCTGTTTTGCCCTGGTATTCCTGGCTGGTGTCCTTGTTTTTTGTCCAAGGGAGCCCTCAGATTTCTCCGCTAACAACAAGAACATCAGAAGAGTCTGGCAGATCAGGCCAATGGCTTCTCTAGTCCAGCATCCAACCGGATGCCTCAAAGGGAATGCCACAAGCGGGATCCAGGCAGGAGGGCAACTCTCTCCTCCTGAGGCTTCCAGCAACTGTCATTCAGAAACAAAACCATGTCTTCTTTCTCCAGCTTTGCTCTGAAGATGTCCAAGGGACAGAGCTCCACCCACAACGGGAGAGCGGCACAAGGATCTGTGGGATGTGAGCTCATTTCCCTTGAGACATAGAAGAACCTGCCAAGAATGGGCAAAACTCAGAAACTCATGGCTGTGAAGCCTGGACGCAGGATTGATCCCCTCATTTCCACCCTTGTCTTTGTTTTCATCTGGAAATGGGGGAAGGTGGTGTTAAAGTTCAGGCAGGAAAGATCTCTGAGCAGGAGAGGGATGCAGAGAGCGGACGGGGACCCTTATTACGGGACCACAACAAAAGATCTCAGATCCAATTAAATACAGATCAGGCAACTGCACATCAGCTAACAAAACACAGGGAAGAATTAATAGGGCAGATATTAAAGCAAATTCAGCCACGGTCATAAAACCAAATCGCAGCCTCTATAAACATTTGCCATCTTTGGCTGCATTCCCAAAGCCAAAGGCCAAAAGGAGGAGATGCGGCAGAACGGCCACGCTCCATGGCGGGCGGAAGCAAAGACTCACTGGCAGAAGGGGGGCTCTTTTGTCATGAAAGTGCCCCCCTCCAGATACACCCAGTGGGCAGGTTCCACCAGCAAAGTTCTGCTGGTTGGGGGGGGGGGTCAAAACACTACATATGCTACACTTCTGTTATAAATTCATAGAAAA